GGCATCCGTCTCACGAACGGCGACCTGCTGCAGAAATCGACGGGCATGAATGTTGCGATAGAGAATGGTGGCAGCAGCAGGAACGAGGAGAGACCCAGAAGACGGGGGGGCCAGGCCAAGACGGGCGACAGGGCATCCAGGCAGCGAAGGGACGCGCATGATCGAGCAGAGAATGGCCAGGAAACGAAGGCAAGACCAATAGTGAATAAAAGAGTCTCGGCTGGGATCAACAGCCGAGGGAAGACAGCCTAGAAGACAAGGGCTGTCGCACTGAAAACGGTGGTCCGTTGTCCACCCATGAACTAAAAGCTTGAGGGCGGCATTGCTCTGAGCAGGAGGCATGCGGGCTAGGGCCCGTCGGATCTCTTCCCACGGCCAAGCTCGAACTTCATTCTCAGAGACAGGGGCCCAAGAGGACGCCCGAGCAGCAAAAACGCCGACGAGAGGATCGGGAAACGTACTTTCGAGCATGGCCAATCGGAAGTGGCGCTGCGTCTTGCGCTTGGGCCGCCCGCGGCCGCTCGGAGGCGGATGGGGGAGGGGCAGGGAGAGACGCGAACGCAGAAGCAGCAGCGGAGGTCCACGGGGCGAGAGAGGCGGGGGGGGACGTGGCGAGGCCTTGTCCGACGGGTCTGGGAAAACCAGCCTGGGCACTCTCCAGGAACTCAGCGAATGAAGCTCGCTGCCAGAAGGGAGGGGCCAGGGATCCGCGGGCGAGGAGACAAACGGGCAAGTGGGCCTCGGCAGAGGCACGGAGGAGGGGGAGGACGGCCCCCCAGCTCAGAAACGTTTCAAGACTGGCTCCGATGAGAGCCGCTGAGGTGGAGGTGAGCAGACAATCAGCCAGCCAGCCAGACATCGGGGGAGCACAATGAGCGGAGTGCCAAAGACAGGCGAGGAGGGCGGCCTCAGACCTACTGAAGCCGCCGGGGAGGGGCATGTACTGCGCGACGTAACTCAGGGTCGTCACGCATCTGATGTTGTAGTTGCTGGCTGTGACTCGCGTGGGGCCGCTCATGGCCGCCACTTGCGCAGCGCGCGATCGGTGCTTTGCCAGTGGCGCACAGTCCAGCTGGCAAGACGCGCCGCCGGCCCGATATGCATGCCAAGATAAACTAAAGAAGGGACCACCTCGAATTGTCTCCAGACTGGAATAACCGAAAACAGCCAGGTCTGATATCTCAATACTACATCTTGATCAAATGGTTCTCCCAGCGGAACGATCTTGCACTTGGCAGCCTTGAGGGTCAAGGCAGAAATCCTCTCGGCGGCCTTGGAGATCCTGTGGAAGAGACGGAGCACGCGGAGCGTCTTGATGGCCGCGCCTACGTCGTCCGCGCAGGCGCGCACGATCCCCAGGAGCCGCTGGTTGATGCTGCGGTCGAAGTCCTGCATGAACGGGTCTGCCCCCGCGGCGAACAAGGAGCCCGAGGCGGGGCAGCCCTGGATGATGCCGCTCTGGACAGGGTGCATGAGGGTGGGCGAGCCCGAGCCGCGCGCTGCAAAGCAGCGGGCACCAAACAGCAGCTGCGAGAAGAACCAGCATAGGGCCTCAGGGAGACCACGTCGCGAGAGAACTGAGCAGAGCCAATCGTGGGCCACGCTCGGGAAGGCCTGCCGGAAGTCAAAGCTGAGCAGATGGCATCAGAGCGGGGGCGCCCTCCTGCATCGAATAAATCCTGGCCGTCGCATCCATCTCGACAATGTTATCGCCGAAGTTGCGGGCATGGATGAAACCTCGCTGGACATGGTTGGTGGCTTTGGGGGGGGGGGGATCCTCGAGAGCTCCCTAGTCACGACGGCGGTCGCGATTTTGTCATCGCAATTCTTGAGCCCAAGAGGGCGAAGGTTAGTGGGAGCTCTAATGCAGCCCTGGGGGGTGTCATCGTCCTCGGAGGCCTTCGGGATGAACGCGCCTAGCAAGTCGTTGTACCCAATGGGGACGGGGTTGCCATTCAGGATCCATCGCATCATGTCTTTGGGCCGAGAGCGGGGACCTCTGGAGCGCCTTGTGCGGGGGGCCGTCAGGACCTGGAGCAGAGTGAGGAAGGCGAGTGAGGTAGCTCTGAAAGTAGCTCTGAAAGTCCTTAATCGAGGGCGGGGCATCCTCAGAGACGTCCAAGTGGGGGCAGAACCTCTGGAGGCACACCGACGCGGCGTGCATGTCTATGTCTTTGGGCAAAAAAACATCGCGCCAGTGGGAGGAGATCGCGTTCTGCATATCAGACTGGGAGGATACGACAACGTTGTTTTTCACCGCGGATCCCTGCGAGCGTCGTGCGGCGGTCCATTGGCGCCCACAATTTAGCTCGCCGTGAAAGACGCTGGAGCCTCTTGTTCAGCTTGGCCTTGACCTGGCCAGGAGAGGGGAGGGGGGCGGCGGCGCCAATCTCCGCGCGGACGGAGCTCTGCTGGTTCTCCGCGTCTGCATACTGGAGCTCGTCCAGCAAACGAGAAAAACGTGCAGGATCCGAAAGGGCCACCCTATCATCTTCGCGAACCTCCAGAAGATCTTGAGCTCATGGGCAACGAAGGAGACGCGAAGCTAGCTCGCGATCTCGACGCCACGCAGCCCGAGAGATGGACCTCATGAGGATCAACTTGGAGGCCATGTTGCGGGGGTCCTTGGAGAGCAGAGCGTTTCTGGCATAACGGGCGCCTTCGCGAAGCACCTTCTTGTAGAGCTCGAGGACCACAGGGGGACTGAGCTCGGTGAGGTCCAGGGAGGGCCAGAACGCCTCGACGTATCTCTGAAAGTCGGGATGCTCGAAAACGCGCCTCGGGATGGGCTGGTCCTCGGGGTCAGGCGGAGGGCGGGCGCGGAGAACAGCTGCGACAGGGGCGTGATCACTGATTTTGCGCTGCCCAAGGGTCTCAGGGAGGCCCCGCGCTCCAGCGGCCAAGTGCATGGCAGAGACGATCCAGCCTGACCGCGAGATAAAGATCTTGTCAATGGCGGACGTCTGTCGGCGAGAGCCGTTGTAGCGGGCGTGCTCGCCTGGATCCAATTCGACCAAGCGGGCGAATAGCTGCTGCCATGGAGACCGAAGCTGTCGTCTCCACGCCGGCGCAGATGGGCCCTCGGCAGCCCCCCCTGTCCGAAGGCACTTCGGGCCGCGGAGGTGCCCGAGAGAGGTCAAAGTCGCCAACAGCGACGACGAGGTCGTGCACTGGGTCCGACAGGGCGAAGGCGAGCTCCGACTCGATAGTACGTATGATCATATGCGTGTCATGTGTTAATGTCGTGGTTATGCACGTTGAAGTGCGAGATGCAGTGATGCGAGTCGGACCCAGACTGCGCCCAAAGGCCTAAGAATAATTTAGTGTGGAATGCTCGACCGCGAACCAGTTCCTCGACAAAGACCGAGGGCCCGCATCCTGGGAAGGAAAACGGGGGAGGGAAAAGCGCGACGACGCCGCCCTTGTTCGAGACGGGGAGGAAGGAGGAGACCGCTGAGTACTTCGTGGTGGACATGTGCAGAAAATCGTCAAGGTCGAACCTGCTTCCGTGAGCCCCCTGGAGACCAATGATCCTGAGCCCACGGAACATTCCCAGGAAAAAATTAGGTCTCGCTGTCCGCACTCTTGGGCAGTGATGAAATAGAGCTCTCGCATTCCACGCGGCCAGCCCGAGCTCGGGTGAAGACAGGCCGCCAGTCTTCAGGAACCACTCGTTAAAGACGCCACTGGGCGGGCGCCGAGGGAGAGGAACTCGAGCTGGACAAAATAGCCTCGACAATCCTTGACTCAACTGCGGCACGATCGATGCCCTTCGCGCGGAGGTTATCTTCCTCACATTCAATGGTCGGCATCTCATTCGGCTTCGGGGTGATGCGGAGGAGGGGCCGTGGGCTTGTCAGCGTGGAGCTTGAGGTGAGGGTCGATGGAGGAGAGGATTTTGCGGGCCTGCTTGGTCGCGAGCTCGCGGCGAACCTGGAACAGGTTCTTGTCCTCGGAGACGTGCAAGTCGACGGGGGTACCTGTCGGACCTCTGGCCTGCATGCGGCGGTAGGAGCCGCCCTCGAGGCGCATGTTGGCAAGCGCCTGCGACACCATCCTCGCAGCCCATCCAGGCGCGCCCTTGATGCGGATGATGAAGCGCTTCGCGGCGGGCTCGCCCTCGACCTGCCAGCCGCCCTCCTCGAAGTTGGAGTCCGCCAGCCATCGCGCGACTGCCTGGGCGATGGCCTCGCGAGCAACCATCTCAGCAGCACGGATGACGAGGATGCATGGGTTGGTGCGCCGCGCAAAGCCGCCGCCGCTAGGCGGGGCAGCAGGCGGCTCGTCGTTCTGGACGGCGAAGAGGGACTTCTTGAGGTCGGCGATCTCCTTTGCCATAATGTCCATTCTGGAGCTGAACGTGTTCTGGCTGGCCTCCATCCTGGCGAGCCTCGCTTCGACCTGCTGGCTGAGGCCGCCGACGTGGGCGGTGACGGAACGATTGAGTTTGAGCATGGTGGCCTGCAGGGTCTGCATAGCCGAGAGAATATCTTGCGTCTGAACACCAACATAAGTTCGAAGATCACCGTCAGGAGAGAAATAGGAGTAGGATGGTCACCGTCGCACGACTGCTGTGACGGGAACGTGGGGACGGCCCGGAGCTGGCGTTCGAGCTCCTCGACTTCAGAGGCAGCCATGGCCGAGATCCGCATGAGGCAGTCTGGGCCGCCTTCGCCTCGGCCTGACGACGCGCCCTCGGTGTGCGGCTGCTTGTGCTCAGGCGAGCGGGAGCCGCGAGCCTCGCCATGCGGGGGCATCAGAGAGAGGGAAGAAGGGGCGTGTGTCCGCCAGCCCTTGACGGCTGGATAGCTCGGAAAGAGCTGCCGCGCTCAACCTCGGGCCTGTCCCGAACCTTGAGCCAAAATGGCAACGGAAACGGTCCTCCTCTCCTCCTCCTCCTTCCCTTCCCTCCTCCCCCAGACGGCCAACCCGAGGGGCCAGGCAAGGAGCCAGCAGAGCGATCCAAATACACGCCAGATCAGATCGCCTGTCCGAGACCCTCAGCCGCAGCAGCCGCACATGGCGTCCAGGGGGCCGCTCTCCATCGACTTCAGGCGGAGCAGGAACCGAAGCCGCGGGCGCCGCTTCAGGCCGGCCATGAGCGGGTGCCACTGGTGGAACACCTGGAAAGACAACAACAACACCACCACCACCACCAACAACAACAGCAGCAACAGCAACAACAGCAATAGCAATAGCAACAACAACAACAACATCAACATCAACAACAACAACAACAACAACAACAACAACAATGACAACAACAACAACAACAACAACAACAACAACAACAACAACAACAACAACAACAACAACAACAACAACAACACCACCAACAACAACAACAACGACAACAACAACGACAACAACAACAACAACAACAACAGCAGCAGCAACAGCAGCAACAACAACAGCAACAGCAACAGCAACAGCAACAACAATATCAACAACAACACAAATGCGGAGGCCTCCAACGTCTTGAAAAAACAAGAAGGGGGCTATGAGGTCCCAGTGCCACACCCGGCAGGCCAGGGCTGCTGGATCTGAAAAAAGACCCCCCGCCCCGCCCCGCACACCCTGCATACCGTGGCCACCAGGCCCAAAGTATGTTGGTGCTCGCTGGGGATCCCTCCTCGTTTCTTCGACGAATGACAGCTGCATACCGCGGCCGCCAGGCCCCAAATTTGCTCGTGCTCCCTGGGACTCCCGCCTCGCGTTCTTGGGCAGGGATCGCTCGGAGCTAAGCAATTCATGTAATTTGCGGCGTCTCGAGGCCACGTTCGCGCTCCAGTCTCACCAAACACTATCTAACATGAAAAAACAGTCCCCTTAAAGCTGTCGAGAGGCTCCAAGCCCCCGTGCTGAAACAGACAAGGCGTCGGAGATCTGGGCACAAAAATCCTGGGAGGTCCGCTCGGATTCATCAGGGTCAGCACTGGGCCTCGCCTCATGTTGCTCCCATCGTACTTAAGGACCACATCCCAGAAACAACTTCGAGCAACCAGAACAATATCGAAACCGTGTCGAACGAGCATCGCCTCCCAGGGCCCGACACGTGGAAATCCTCCCGTTTCGGTACTTTCTGGGTGCTCGTTTTTTTTTGTTCTGGCGACGAAGACTAAAGGAGGTTGACACACTGACACATCAGACGCCCCGCCCCCCCGCACCTCTCAGATCGCGCGCGGGGTGTGTCCAGAAGCGCCGCCAAAGGGTGCGGGGAAGGAGGCCCAACGCCGCCCCGAGAAATCTGCGCGGACCTCCCTCGGTCCCCATGGCACCTCCTTCGTTGGAAAGATGGGCGTGCGGTGATCCGGCACGTTGATGTGGACCTGGTATGCGGGGTCCACGGTGTGGAAAAAAACGCCGCCGCGGCGTGTCGCGACCAGTGGCTTGCCAGGCCCATTGTTATCTGCCCTGGGGGTTGCTCTGTGCGGAGCAGGGAGCGCGAAACCGACCCCCAGGCATGCAGAGCGAAACCATTCGTTGAATGATTGTTCCAGGTCGCCAGGTGTTTGGCCCGCCTCGAGAGAACGCGGTGCAAGCGGTGTAGCTCCTGGTGAGGGTGTCCTTGCCCCCCTCCCCTTTCCCCTACCCCACAGCGATTCGGCGGATATGCGAGGGAATGCACATCAATATCTGGTACACGTGATTCGACGTCTTGCCCCCCACTAGCTGGAGAGACAATCGGTGCAACGACATCGCTGCCGCGTCCTCGCTCTGCTCCGGATTTAAATTCACCCTGAAGCGTAAGTCGTCGTCGAGTTCCGAGTCGCTCGGATCCTCCACGGTGATCTTGACCAAGGTCGAGTTGGTGCCACTGCCGGCCACGTCGAAGAACGACTTCATGGTCTCTGGACGCCACTTGAACTCGATCAGGAAATTGCAGGTTGCATCGTCGGAGCCCTTCGACAACTCGCAGACCTCTTGCCACATCACCCCGGCGGCCTCCGCATCAGCGCCGTCGTCGAAGCGCAAGGGCTCGCCCCACATATCCGCCACCGTGCCTCGAGGCACGAAGTGGGGTGTCCTCAGGTCCCTGCGAGCTCCCTGTGTTGAGTCATGCAGATGTCACTAGATGGGCATCCAAAAGGCCTCTGACCTACAAACCAGGCACGGTGGCGGGATGGGCCGAACGTGACTAGATCCGCCGCCCCCTGCTTGCAGGGGTGCACGGCGTGCTGGACGTTTCAGGTTTTGGTTTTGGTTCTTTTTCCAAAAGAACTTCCCAGTGGGCTCCGGCAGAACCCGCCGGCCACCCGGAATTTCCCCAAACGTGCTCAACGACCGCAAAAAATCCTCCAAAAAACGGCCGTTTCGCTCGGGACATCCTCAAAAAATCGCGAAGATGGCCCAAGATGGCCTCCAAGTCCGCCCGAGATGGTCCAAGACGGCCTCCAAAACGGCCCAAGAGAGTCCAAGACGGCCCAAGACGGCCCAAGAGGCCCCCCAGAGGCCTCCCAGACGGCCCAAGAGGCCTCCAAGAGGTCCTCCAGGAGAGTCCGAAGAGGCCAAAATCATTGATTTTCCATTGGTTTTTGAAGGATTTTGGCATTTGCGCCTTTTCGGCTCTCCGACGGCTCAAGACGGCCCAAGAAGCCCCCAAGATCGCCCAAGAGGCCCCCAAGAGAGCCCCATGATGGCCCAAGTGGCCTCCAAGATGGCCCCTAGAGGGCCCCAAGAGGGCCCAAGAGGCCTCCAACACGCCCAAGATGGCCTCCCAGACGCCCAAGATGGCCTCCAAGACGGCCCTGGAGCATTCCAAGCGGGCCCCAAGTCGGCCCATAGAGGCCCCCCAAACGGCTTCCGACGGCTTCAGACGTGCCAGGAACCCACCAAGATGGCCGAAGTTGGCTCGAAGCTGGCCCGAGACGGCCCAAAAAGCCCCAAAGATCGCCCAAAGCTTGCCCAAGAGGCCTCCAAGACGGCCAAGATGACCTTCAAGATGCCCACGTGTTCCCCGAAGGCTTTCCAAACCGATTCGGGGAACACGTGGTCCGATAGCTTGGCAGGTCTGGCCTCAACGTTCGGCCACATAGGCGCTTCCAAAAAGGCAGGGGGCGGCGGTGATTCGCCGTAGGCGTCTTCGATCCGCCGCCCCAATGTGATTCATCACAGGGGTGCCTGGCGTGCTGGTTGGTTCTTCTTTCAAAAGAACTCCCCTTGGGGCTTTGGCCCGTCGCGCCAGCTGCCTGCCTCATCGGCGTCTTTGCTCAAGATGGCTCAAGATGGCCTCCAAGATGCCTCCAAGACGGCCAATATGACCTCCAAGACAGCTAAGATGGCCTCAGGACGCCTCCAAGACGGCCCAAGATGCACCCAAGACGGCCTAGGATAGTCTCAAGATCGCCCGAGACGGCCTAAGGCTTCCAAGAGGCCTCCAAGAGGCCTCCAAGACGGCCGAAGAAGTCTCCAAGAGATGCTCCCCAAAGGCCCGAAGAGGCCAAAATCATGTATTTCCGTTTGGTTTGTTGAGAACGTTTGGGAGTTGCGCGTTTTCGGCCTTCCGACGGCCCCAGACGGCCCAAGAGGCCTCCAAGGTCGCCCTAGAGGCCTCCAATATGGCCCCATGCCGGCCCAAGAGGCCCCCAAAACGGCCCCAACAGGGTCCGAGAGTGCTCCAAAGCTTCTCGAGAGGCCTCTCACGTCTTCCTCCTCATCCTCCTCTCTCTCACTCTCATGTTTCTCCCCTCTTCTCTTTCTGTCTGTTCCTCCTCGAAATGTACTCCCGTTTCCACAATGGCTGGTGGAATACATGGTCCAACAAATTGGCCAAGATCCGACCCATCATTTGTGACGAGCGTTTCGCCAAGGACATCATGACACAAAGGAGAGATTGTATAGATATATACATATATCTCTCTATATATATATATATATATGTGCATGCAACAAGATGGCTTCCAATACGGCTAAGATTGCCAAAGGTGGCCCCAAAACTGCCCCAAGACGGCCCGAACATTGCCAAGTATGGCCCTCAGGAGGGCCCCAAGACGGCCCAAAGACTGCTAAATGTGGACTCTAAGACGGCGGAGCTGTCTCCATGACGGCCAAGAGGCTCCAATAGGCCACCTCTTTCTCAGCGTTCCCCATATCATCCTCCTCCCTTTTTCCAAATCCCCCCCCACTGATGCGCCCCCAAATGTTCCCCGAAATGTTTCCCCGGCAGCTCGGGGAACACGCGCGCGAATACCGCGTTTGCACTTTACTCCAACGTATGTCCGCATAGGCGTTGGGCGACGCATAAATCGCCGTAGCGACTTCGGGAAGTTTGAAGGGCTCTGGGAGGCTCAACCAGAAGCTTCGCCCAAGGCGAAGCCCATATCCAATTCTGTTGTACCGTAGTAACGATAGTCCCAAAAGAAGGGGATCGTCACGGGAGCGACGGGCCATGTCAAGCGAAGATGTTTCCGGTTTCGATGGCAAGTAGTGCGCCTCGCGATGAGGCGCAAACATATGTTGGCGGCCGGCCGCTTGAGAACAAACGGCCGCGGACAAACGCTCGCTATCTCCCGCCTTTGCCCCATCCTCCTGTAGAGTCGGGAAACCAAGGCCGATGGCATCTTCAACGTCAGACGAGCTGGCTGTAATGGAAGAGGAATGTGTTCTCGAATGTTTCCAAGAACATATAAACGCAAACCCCCGACGACGCCAAGACGGCACTGGAAGGCCCTCTGAGCCCCGAACTACCCGACCCCATGTTGGGTGAGCCCAAAGCCCGTCCAGGGAGAACCCCAAGATGGACGAGAGAAGCCAGATCGACGTCCTCACTCAATTCATGCTCGCCCACGTGTTCCCCGAACCCTGTCCAGTCAAACTCGGGGAGCACGTTGTCCAGCATCCAGACACCCATCCCCGAAACCTGGCCCAATAAAGCCCCAGAGTGCCTCAATAGACACCCGAGAAGACTTTTCCTCCCTTCTTCCTTTTCCTCAATCTCCTCCTCCTCCCCATCCTCCCCCACGCGTTCCCCGAAAGCTTTCCAAACCGACTCGGGGAACACATGGCCCTGGCCACAAAATTCGGCCACATAGGCGGTCGTGAACCCTTTCGGTCTTGGTTTTGGTTCTTTTCCAAACGAACTCCCCCTGGCGCTTCGACCCAGCCCGCCAAGGTCCCGGAAATTGCACATGTCAATGCCGGTCCCGCTCCAAAATGGTCCAAGATGGTCTCCAAGACGGCTCAGATGGCCCGAAATGGCCCTTCAGTTCGCGTAAGATGGTCGAAGATAGCCTCAAGACTGCCCAAGAGCGTCCAAGATGCCTCCAAGTTTGCCAAAGAAGCCTCCAAGACGGCCCAAGATGGCCCCACAGGGCCCCGAGACGCCGCCCAGACCGCCCAAGAGGCCTCATACAGTCCTTCAGGAGGTCCCACAGAGGCCAACATCATTGATGTCATGTAAGTTTTTGAAGGATTTCGGCATTTGCTTCTTTTCGCCCTTCCGACGGCTCAAGATGGCCCATGAGGCCCCCAAGAACGCCCACGAGGCTTCCAAGATGGCCCCATGACGGTCCAAGAGGCCCCCAAGACGGCCCCAGGAGGGCCCCAAGAGGGCACAAGAGGGCTCCAAGACGCCCGAGATGGCCTCCAAGACGGCCCTGTAGTGCCCCAAGAGAGCCCCAAGACGACCCAGATAGGCCCCCAAGACGGCTTCCGACGGCGTCTCCCCCACGTGTTCTCCGAAAGCTTTCCAAACCGACTCGGGGAACTCATGGTCCGACAGCTTGGCCAAGCTCTAGCCCAACTCTCGGCCACATAGGCGCTTCCCCGAAAGGCAGGGGGCGGTGGTGATTCGCCGTAGGCGTCTTCGATCCGCCGCCACCTGTTGATTTATCACAAGGGTGCATGGCGTGCTAGATCCTACGGCTTTGATTTGGCTCTCAGAAAAACTTTCCCTGGGGCTCGGTCCATGTCGCCAGCCACCCGGAAGGCTCCGCCGCCGCGCAACCAACGTCTCCAAGACGGCCTCGATGGCCTCCAAGGCAGCCAAGATGGCCCAAGAGGGCCTCCAAATTAGCCCAACCGATATGTCCTCCAGGAGGGCCCAAGAGGGTCACAGATGCATCCAAGTCCGCTAAAGAAGCCACCCAGAGACGGCCACAGAGGCCCCGGAGAGGCCTTCAAGACGGCCCAAACGGCCTCCAAGAGGTCCTTTAGGAGGGCCCGAAGAGGCCCAAATCAGTGGTTGAATGATGTTGCCAGTTGTATCTTTTCGGCCTTCCGACAGCCCAAGAGGGCCCAAGAGGGCCCCCAAAATCGCCACAAGATGGCCCCAAAGGCCTCCCAAACGACCCGTGACGGCCTAAGAACGGCCCCAAGATGCCTCCCAATTCGCCCAAGATGGTCCAAGATGGCCTCCAAGACGGCACAAAAGAGGGTCCAAGATGGCCTCCAAGACGGTTCAATAGGGCCCAAGATGCCTCCAAGTCCAGACAAGACGCCTCCAAGACGGCCCAAGAAGCCCCTCATAAGCCTACAGGGCCCGAAGAGGCCAAACCCATCGGTATCCCTTAGGTTGGTGAAGGATGTTGGCATGTGTTTCTGTTCGGCCTTCCGAAAGCCCAAGACGGCCCAAGAGCCCAAAAAGATCGCCCAACAATCGCCCAAAGGCCTCCAAGATCGCCCCAATAATGCCCCAAAAGCCTCCAAGATGACCCCATGACGGCCCAGGAAGCCTCCAGGACGGCCCCAAGAGGTTCTTCAAGTTTGCCCAAGATGATCCAAGATGCTTCCAAGACGGTCCGATAGGGTCAAAATGCCCCCAAGTCCGCCCCAGAAGCCTCCAAGACGGCCTCAGAGGCCCCCGAGAAGCCTTCCAGCCGGCCCCAGCCAGAGGCCTCCAAGAGGTCCTCCAGGAGGGCCAGTAGAGACCAAAAACATTGTTCTCTGGGTGCTTGAAGGATGTTGGCATTTGCATCTTTTCGGTCCTCCGACGGCCCGAGGCGGCCCAAGAGCCCCCAAGGGTCGCCCCCTCCCCAGGGGCCTCCAAGATGATGGTACCAGAACGGCCCAAGAGTCCTCCAAAACGGCCCCAAGGCGCTCCAAGGCGGCCCAAGAGGCCTCGCCCCCAAGACGCCGCAATCCCCACCCCACAGGCGCTCTGTTCTTTCGGACCCCCCACTCGACAATTTCTCGCCCGACAACGCCCCGCCGTCTACCCCCGCCGTCGACCTCGCCCGCAGTCTCCACCCCACGGGCGCTCTGTTCTTTGGGACCCCCCACTCGACAGTTTCTCGCCCCACAGCGCCCCGCCGCCTGCCCCCGCCGTCGACCTCGCCCGCAGTCCCCACCCCACGGGCGCTCTGCTCTTTGAGACCCCCCACTCGACAATTCCTCGTACGAAAACGCAAATCCCACCAGCCCTGTGGTTTAGAGAGCTCTCTCTGTCCTCAACCCCCCTTCTTCCCCTTCGGGGAGGGGTTTACCCCTCCCCCTACCCCCTCCCCCTGGACCTGGACAGGGAGTCCGGGGTGGTGTCAGGGGGGTCCATTTCGACTCTTCGGAGGGCCAAAAAACGACGACCCTCACGAGGATTCTGGCCCCGACGGGGGGGTGAGTTTGGCCCCTCTGCTCGTCTTTGAAGCAGAAATCATTGATTTTACGATGGTTTTGGCCCCATTTTGGCCTTCTGAGGGGGCCGCGCTCATCTTCCCTCATAGCAAAATCATTGAATTTACGAAGGTTTTGGGCTCATTTTGTCCTTCTCAGGGGGCAGCTCTCACTTGCGCTTCTGAGGAGGTCGCAAGAGGCCCCAAGATGGCCCCAAGAGGCCCCCAGGAGGCTCCCAAGAGGCCTCCAAGAGGCCCCCCAGAGGCCCCCAAGAGGCCCCCAAGAGGCCCCCAAGAGGCCCCCAAGAGGCCCCCAAGAGGCCCCCAAGAGGCCCCCAAGAGGCCCCAAGAGGCCCCCAAGAGGCCCCCAAGAGGCCCCCAAGAGGCCCCCGAGGCTCCAAGAGGCCCCCACGAGGAGCCCGAACGACTCACACCAGGACGAGGGGCCCGAACGACTCACACCACGAAGAGCCCGAACGACTCACACCACAAGGAGGGGCCCGAACGACTCACACCAGGACGAGGCGCCCGAACGACTCACACCACGAGGAGCCCGAACGACTCACACCACGACGCGGGCCCCGAACGACTCACACCACGAGGAGCCCGAACGAGTCACACCAGGAGGAGGGGCCCGAACGACTCACACCAGGATGAGGGGCCCGAACAACTCACACCACGAGAAGCCCGAACGACTCACACCAGGACGAAGAGCCCGAACGACTCACACCACGAAGAGCCCGAACGACTCACACCAGGAAGAAGGGCCCGAACGACTCACACCAGGACGAGAAACCCCAAACGACTCAAATCACGAGGAGCGCTTTCTCTCCCTCCTCCTCCGCCTCGTCCTTCTCCCGCTCCCCCCACAAGGAGGATGTACAAGGAGGCGGGAGGAAGGAGGAACAGGGGAGATATGCGGGGCCAAGCGGACACACGCCTGAAAAACACGACTGTCGGCATGCTTCGCGAGAGTTGCTGCTGTGAGATGGGCTGGTGGGGATACGCGAAGCGTAAAGAATTGGCCTCCAAGACGGCCCCTTGCCGTCGCTCGGACGTCCGTTTCCCGTGCATGTTCCGGTTTCGTGCGTGTTTTGTTTGCTCGATGGTCCAGGATGGTCCTCGATGGTTCTCGCCGAGAGACAATCCACACGTCCGAGCGATGCCAAGGCCCTGCAGCACCTCAAGAGGGCCCCGAATCGGTTCAGAGAGGCCCCAAAGACGGCGCCCGACGGCGTCAGACCGGCCCCCCGACCGCCTCAAGACGGCGACGGCCAGAGCAGGCCCCCGAGAAGCACCCACGGGCCCCCCAAGAGGCACGGAGGGCTCCAAGACGCCTCCAAGAGGCCCCCAGGGAGATCCCAGGAGGCCCCAAGAGTGCTCCCAGAGGCTCCCAAGATGCCCCCTCCTCCTCCTCCTCCTCCTCCTCCTCCTCCTCCTCCTCCTCCTCCTCCTCCTCCTCCTCCTGATCTTCCCTGCCATCTTCCCCGAAGTGCTCCCCGAAAGGTTTCCACAACGGCTGGGGAAACACATGGTCCGATAGCTTGGCAAAGCTCTGGCCACAAACGTTCGGCAACATTGGCGATTCCAGAAGGCAGGGGGTGACGGTGATTCGCCGTAGGCATCTTCGATACTCCCCGCTGCAGGCCGTGTTCAGCTTGATCCTCGCACCACGCCAGGCCTGGGCGTAGGCCTTGATGCTCGTTAGAGGTAGCAGAGAGTGCAGCCAAAGGGCCCCTTCCACAGTCTGCAGCCCGCGCGGGGCTCCCTCGGGCAGCGTGGACGCCGCCGCCTGGAAGAACGTGTGGCCGTTCGGGGAGAAGATGGCGTCCCTCAAGCCTGCGCAGGCCTGAGACACTCGGATGACGTCCTTGGACCAGCAGCCCAGCAGCGCATGATGCAGCATTCCGCCCTGCGCCAACCCCAAGAGCGTCTTCCTCTCGGGCATCACGGGCGCTGCCAATGCGGGTCTGATCCGCTTCCCTACGGGCTGGAGCAGCTGCAAGAACCTTCGGTGGCAACTCAAGTGAATTGTTGGCCGAGACGGATCGGCGGTGATCGACGCTAAATCGACACGAATCGACGCTAACCGACTCTAATCGACGCTAAATCGGCGCGGCGCCATGCCAATAATTACCAAACGCTACTCGTTGCTAGTCGACGCGAAAAACGGAATTGAGACGGTATACAAGCCTCCGATGATAGTCTACCGAAGGAACCTCTCTTCGATCTCTTTACGGGCAAGCTTCTTGCCAATGAATACGATCTTGCAAAGGCGGGGCTCGTTCTCCCGCCAGCACGGCCCGTCCGACGTCTCGGTGACGTCCGCGACGGCGTGGAAGATCAGCTTCGACTGCTTTCCCATGGCGGCCAGGACCCCTTTGGATCGATAAACCCTGCCCTTGTCTTCGGGCAGAGTTGCCAGAACACGGACCCACCTCGCAAACGCCAGTGGCTCGACCTCCACGCCTCTGCGCACGATGCTGAAGCTGCCAATCTCTTCGTCGTGCCTCTGGCTGAGACCATGACCATGGCCTGCAACATGGCCCGCGCCGTGCCCGTCACCGTGGCCCCCGCCGTGCCCCTCGTGCCCACCATGGCCATGGTCCTCGTAACAGTCCTCGTGGCCGCCGTGGCTGTGGGCACCACCGTGGCCGCTCTCATGCCCGCCGAGCTCCTCCTGCTCGAATGCTATGGAATCCGGGTCGAATGCGGACAGGCCAGTCAGGTCGGAAGCCGGCACGACGCCCTTGACGGAGGCAACTATCTTCGCGGAGTCGTTGTACGAACGTATGCGATGCCACACCTCGACGGCCTCCTCATCCGTCACCAGGTCGACCTTGTTCAGGAGGACCCGGTCGGCAAAGGCGATCTGCCTGTGCCGCTCCATGTCCTCCTGCGCGGCCTCGGCGCACTCCGACAAGCGCTGCAGAATGGTCTTGGCGTCCACGAGCGTGATCGTGCCGTCCAGCCTGAAGTGCCGGGCGATGTCGGGCGTCTGCCTCAGCGTGCGGATGATCGGAACGGGGTCGGCCATGCCCGTTGTCTCGACCAGCACTGCGTCGAGGGGGCTGCCTTTCTCCTCCATCTGCCGGCGGATGGAGTCGAAAGCCCCGAGCAGGTCTCCGCGTACCGTGCAGCACATGCAGCCGTTCTCCATAACGACCACCTGTTCCGCGAGGTCCATGGCAGAGTTCTGCAACAGCTCGTTGTCTATCGGCACCTCCCCGAACTCGTTCTCGATGACGGCGAACTTCTTGTCCCGCTGCTTCTGCAACAGGTGGTTCAAGACGGTGGTCTTGCCGGCGCCCAGGAAGCCTGTGAAGATCGTGACGGGGATGGTGAAGCTGTGAACCGAGCACAGACGGCGCCCCCCCCCCCCAGGCAGTCCCGGTGGCCCTGGGCGCTCTCAACAGCCAAACCTAGGGGAACAAAAAGTGTCATAAACGTAAAAACTCGGAGGTCCGCGCGGATTTCTCGGATCGGCGCTGGGGCCCCCCCGGCGGCGCCTCCGGCGCCGCCCCTGGCGCACTCCGCGCGCCAGGGAGGGAGGTCCAGCGCCGATCCGAGAATTCCGCGCGGACCTCCGAGTTCTTATGTTTGTATCACTTTTTGTTCCCCTAGAACTCGCCATCGCTCGGACGTCCATTCCCTGTGTTTTTTCGGTTTCGTGCGTGGTTTTTTTGCTAAATGATCAAGGGTGCTCCTCGATGGTCCTCGCCGAAGGAGAAATGCACACGTCCGAGCGATGCCGAGACAACCCTGGGGCGCGGAGCGCACCAGAGGCGGCCCCAGACTGCTCGGTGGGTCTGTTGCGGCCAACTGAGCTCACTCGGGGGGCCCTGCAGAGGCCAGCGGGGAGGCTGCGTGTGGGGGGGGGGAGGAGGCTGCCGGTTTGGAAGCCCGAAATGGGCACGGAAAGAATGGGTACAATGCCCAACAGCAAATGTTGTCTCAGACCAACAGCGGCCGCTGTTGGGCAGGCGGCCTTCTGTCTCGAACGGACACAGGCCGCGGCGGCGTGGACAGCGAATCCTGTTCAAAAGGAACAGGACCTGCTGTTGGGCATTGTACCCATTCCTTCCGTACCCATTTCGGGCGTCCGGAGCCTGTGCGCAGCCCGAAACCTCACCACATGGGGACCGGCTCCCCGGCAGCGCCCGCCTTCACCGCCGGAATCTCCGGCCACGGCGTCGCCTGCAGGTCCCCCACGACCACCGCGCGGTCCCCGTCCTGGAAGTGGGCCACGGCCTCTGGGCCGACCGAAGCCCGACCACCAGCCACCCCCAGGCCGCCCAGGACGAGCTCGGACAGGGACGGGGCTGGACCCAACCGTCGTCTTTCGTTTCGTCGTGATGCTCGTGTTGCTCTGCCTGTTTTTCTGCCCCTCCCTGCGAGAACGACAGACAACACACAGCCGAAGTCCAGCAAAACAGCGCTTCGGTCCAACCCTGAGTTTGGAAAGCCCGCCCAGATCCCAGAGATCTATAGGGGCAACGACCGGGGGGGGGGACCAGCTCCGGGGGGAAACATCGATCTGGCATCGGCGACGCATCGCCGACAGGCCCCCGACGGCGACTCCGCGCGCCTCTGGGCGGGGCTGGGGCCATCGGGCCCCCCTCGGCGACGAATGGGCGGCGGGGGGTCGATGCCTCCCCCCTCTGAGCCCATCCCACCGCAGCGTGGCCCCGAAGCCTCCCGCGGTCGGAGGGGGGCGCCGGTCCTGCGAGTCGGCCCCAGACCTGGAGAAATGAGCAGACGCTTCTCGGAGGTCCGCGCCGATCCCTTTGGGCCGGAGCTGGGACCCGCTTCCCAGCCTTTCGGGGCCCCCATGGTCGTCCCCCCCGGTCACGCCCGTCGTCGCCAGAGAGCACAAAAAAACAAGTTCTCTGGAGGGCGCCCCGGGCCCAGCTGAGCGCCAAGGATTGTGATCCCCTGGCTGGTCTTCTGCGGAATCGTCTGCGGCGTGGAGGGGTCCTCTGGGCCTTCCTGGGGCCCTCCTTGGACCCGTCCGTCTTGGGGGCGTCTACAGGGGGCCCAGCTGGGCACCCAGTCCCCAGCTCGGGTGGCGCCAGAAGGCCTTGGCGTGTGGGCGGGGTGGATCCAGTGGCTGAGGCGTGGAGGGGTCCTGCGGGCCTTGGGGCCCTCCTGGACCCGTCCTGGGGGCGTCCAAGGGGGGCCCAGCTTGGCACCCGGTCCCCAGCTCGGGGGGCGTCAGCAACGTGCGGGGGTGGGTGGGTCCAGCGCCGGGGCCCAGGTGGCCCCCGCTGGCCTCTGGACGCTTAGGGCCTGGGTCACAGCGCTCGGCTCTCGGGGCCGAACATCGCAAGGATCGGAGGACGCCAATTATACACCAACGCCGACCCTGGCATCCTGGGGCCAAGATCGGTGTACGTGTCTTTCTATATATACATATAAGTATACACATACACATATATATATATATATATATATATGTGTGTGTGTGAACCTCCAAAAATCCGTGCTTGTGTACCAGACCTCGGATGTCTTGGGTAGTTCAATGCGGGTCGGCAGCTTCCCGTGTAACAGTGTGTCATGCAATGTAATTGTTTGATGGTTGCGCAGCCAGAACGAAGCTCTCAGAGGCCGACACTGAAGTTCCCTTGGTCACACCAAAACTTACAATGGAAACGCGCAAAACCTCCAGACGACACACACACAGTAGGCACAATAACCTCTAGACGATCAAAGAACAATACTAAAGCGGTTCCAAGACCCAAATGACCTCCCCGGGTAGCCTCAAAGTTACCAGATTACCCTCATACTGACCGCAAGAGGGCGCAAAGATGTGCACCTGATTTTGACGCGGCCTTCCACTGGCCGATTGGCAACCCCAACATCGCCCAATGTATAGGCAACTGGTGGCTCCGAATATCTCATGACCACACGATGGCCCCCAGGCGGCCCCAACGTGGCCGAGACAACACCAAAACACAACTCCATGACCTTACCATGATCCAGAGATGATCCAAATGTGACCCCTAGATCCGCCATTGTATCTGCGCGATGTGGGCGTGTGAGAATGCCGGATGGTGCTCTGTAGGGATCTTGGTTTACAATGAAGGGCCCCCCCCTCTAGTCGCGGACTGATGCATGACCCCACCCTACTCCCAAGGCCCAAAACCTCGTAGCAAAAATCGGCGTCCGCGTCCTGAGCGTCCAAGGCAACCCAAGCAAACCATCAAGGTAACCACGACCCCAAATGCCTCGAAAACGGGCCAGGATGACCCCAAGGCGGCCCGATATGGCCTCAAGAGTGGCCAAGCCGCCTCCAATAACAGCCAACATGGCCATAAGACGACGCACAACAGGGTGCGAAGAAGGCAAACATCATGATGCCCGTATGGTTGTTCCCCACATCCAAAATGGGTTTCTTGTTTTCTCTGGACACCCCGCGCAGGAACACACAATAACACACTACATCATCACCCACTCACTCACTCACTCACTCACTCACTCACTCACTCACTCACTCACTCATTCATCACCATCAATCATTCACTCAATCATTACGTCGCCATCACTCACAGACACTACCACCAGCATCATTAGCACCACCACCGCATCACCATAAACATCAACAGCACCATCGCCATCACTCATTCACTCACTCACCCATTCAGTCCCACTCACTCCTTCAGTCATCAGCATCGCAATCAGCATCAACATCACCCACACACGCACTCACGCTCACACTCCCTCACACACATCCCCCTCCTCATCATCATCATTCAACCATTCACTCACTCACTCACTAACCCACTCATTCGCTAGCTTGGCTATGGGGAAGTATCCGGCGGGAGGCTCGTCTGTGAGTGTACTGCGAGGAAGTCTCAGGCGGGAGCCCTCTCCCTGTGAGGCCCGCACTTCACGTCTTTGATCCGACAGGGTCATCCTCGAACCTGTAACCGTCGTCACTTTTGGGCGCCTGAGGCCTGAAGTCTCAGGCGGGAGGCTCGTCTGTGAGCGGATTGTGAGGCAGTCTCGGGCGGGAGCCCTCTCCTTATGGGGCCCGCATTTCATATTTTTCATCCGAACGGAACATCCTCGAACTTGTAACTGTCGTCACTTCTGGGCTCCTGAGGCCTGAGTAAAGGGAAAGTATATGGCGGGAGGCTCGTCTGTGAATGCGTTGTGAGGAAGTCTCAAGCGGGAGCCCGCTCCCTATGGGGCCCGCACTTCATACTTTTAATCCGAGCGGGTCATCCTCGAACTTGTAACTGTCGTCACTTCTGGGCTCCTGAAGCCTGAATATGGGGGAAATATCAGACAGGAACCTCGTCTGTGAGTGAACAGTGAAGAAGTCAAGACGTCTCGGGCGGGAGCCCTCGCCCTATGGTGCCCGCGCCTCTCGTGTTTCCTCCGGGTTGTCCTCCGGCGCGCGTTTCCTTTTGGTCGTCCTCCGGCGCGTATCCGCTGGGACGCACGTCGTGCGTTTCCTCTGAGTCGTGTTCCGCACGAGGATGAAGAGGAATTATGCTACCGAGGAACCCCACATACTTATTTCAGATCCTGCGTGGTCATATCATGTTGCACCAAGCACAGCCTCCTGGCATTGTCGTTCGCCTCTGTGGCGTCGGGGATCTGCAACGCCTGCCACACTTTGCGAGCCCGCAACGGATAGGGGGGACCAGCCCCAGCGCACCCCCTGTGGTGTCGAGAACGTGCAACGCCTGCCACAATTTGCGAGCCCGAAGCGGATATGGGGGACCACCCCCTGCGCACCCCCTTGTGGTGTCGAGAAGGTGCAACGCCCGCCACACTTTGCGAACCCACGCCGCATAAGGGCACCACCCCCTGCGCACCCCTTTTGGTGTCGAGAAAATGCAACGCCTGCAACACTTTGCGAGCCCGAAACTGATGGGGGAC